ATTTAGGCTATATTATTAGGAAATAGAAGATAGTGGAGCACCGAGGGAGATAGTGGACCAATCAGATTGCAGTTTTCTATCTGTTACCCTCGCACCGAGATACCGATAGCCATTATAACCGACGAAGGTGGTGGCCGTGGTAGCCCCGGGGTAACGTCACCAAACTATCACCCCTGAGGACGTGTGTTCGAATCCCACCACTATCATCGCCGTCTGACTTTCCCTATCGTGCGTTGTATGGCAGCCCCTTAATCGGATTTCTTCACTTTCCTGAAAACTGTATCACTATTCATTAAATTAAAGGAAGTGAAAACAAAAAAACAATTTAGTGCTCAATTCATTCTCAAATGTCAAATGTAACTGACTTTGAATCATCCCTGTGAGTTGCGTTTGTCCATATATTTTGATCAAATATGAATGAGAGAGTGAAAAAATCGCCGGCTTCCTTCAAAGCAGTATCCCTTCGTTCTCATCTAGCTGACGAACCTCTATAATTCGTTATAACGTCCCTCGGCTTTTCAGTTTCCCACAGTACCGTCGATATGCAGTGTAAAACTAGGAATAATATTTCACGCTAACAGATCTTTACCCTCCTCATTAAATTTTCTTCACCGTTTATGTTCATTTGCTCACGAGCCTGCCACTCTCGCAACCATACCTGATCTGACTGTATGAAAGCAAACGATGAGGTTATCAGGAAGGCATCTTTTATTGCTAGTCGTTTTTTTCAGTCTTCATTAAAATTGGGCGCGAAAACCACGTTTGAAGTGCTTTTGGGTCTGAATCGGAGCGATTCTCATTATCACGCAGTGACTACGCTGCACCCTAATTTCGGCTCGTAATATTATGCACCGCTTTTAGATTGGTTCGCATGAGTCAGTTGTACCTACCCCTTTTATTTTAGTTCCAAACTGTTTCCCACAAAAGGGTCATCAGTGCATTGCAGTATGAATCCAAACGCCTGTCTGTCTGTCTATCTGTCTGTCTGTCTAGCTATCTGTTTACCTGCATAAGGGAAGCTGACTGTCTAACTTACCGAAACATTGCATTTAATCTCATCAAATCTAGATTACATTTCTGGTAGCTCGACCAGGAATGGAATAGCACTGAGATTTTCGATGTTTCCCATGGACGATATCAATCGTTTGACAGATGAACTAAATACAGACAAACCGGCAAATCGAGCAAATCAGAGGCAAAGAAACTAGGGCGAGGTGGTTTTGTGCTTGTCTATCTTGTCAAACCACCACTATCCATTCGTATGCATGCACGCGTTCGATTAGATACGGCCAAGGTGCATCAGTTTTAAGAGGTGCATCCTGTTTAAATTGAAATTTCTTCCAGAAATACCTATACTAGTTTGTGTCCAATAGAAAGGAAAAGCGAACACACACAAAAAGGATCAAAAAATGTATGGTGAAACAAATAAACAACATTATTGATTTGGTTTCTTGGTTCACTGTGACTATCTTCTTGCCACGTCGCTTTGTTCTGTCCCCACACCCCTCCATTTTCTGTGTTGTCTTGATATCAAGACGATGTGATCGATACGTACGCCTCTTGTCTAGGCCCCAACAACTGGAGGAAAGAACACTGCTGAGAAAACGACAGAATGTCTTTTTGATCATGAAACAACAAGCAAATATATGTGGCCAGTTGGGCGTACTCGAGCAGACGTGGTGACGCGCCAATCAGATCGTGACCTTGACACTCAGGTTGATCGACCGGACGACAGCTATTTGGTTCGCCTTAGTCATCCAATCAGGAGTCGATTCGGCTTGGGCGTCACGAGCGCACTTGTGGTGTGACACGCGTCGCTGCGTGGCAGGACGGATTTTGTGCGCTCCGTCCTAACACTGTTATTATTATCGCTACGTTAACCATGTAGTGATATATATATGTTAAAGTTTAAAGTCAAACTTTTATTACGCGAATTACTCACAATTTCATGCTTCTCTTGTTCCCATACAATATTTACGCGATTGCATTCTTTCTCGACAAGAATGATAAAATGCCACATACAGTTCCGGATAGGAAATATTACATAATGTAGTCTTCAACTAATTTGCGCTCTTGGTTGTGTGGGAATGTGGACTATGCCGGGATTCCATCAAGTCTCTGCTTGAAAGATTTGACAGTTAGCGCGCAAACGACGCGAGATGGAAGTTCGTTCCAAGTGATGTACGATCTGACTCGATTGACAATGGCATTTCATTCGACACTTTGGAATCAGGAACTTAAAACAATGTTGGGCAAATACTTGAGCAGCGGACAACATAGATGGCTTGGGTTCTACAATGGTCGGTACACCAAAATAAAGTCTTCTCTTACTCGGTTGTACTGAATAGAACACTGTCCCAGTGATCGTAATCTATATCTCTAGGTGACGCAGTACAAGCTCTTGGTGGTAATCCCCTGTGGATGCTCCAGTATCTTATGATCACATTGTAACTAACGATTGCTTTTTCATTGATTCGAACGAGAAGAATGTGGAGAGAAACTTCGACGTATTTCAGTCACAATGTCACATCTCTTCTCTAAATGCGAAAGGATGTACTTAGCTGGAGTACAGATGGTTTTACGACGTACTTTGACAGAATAATGAGTGCAGTCGAAGGTTGAGTGGGGGAGACATTCATGTGTTTAGAATTAGGGGGAAAATGAGCAACTATTTTAGCATAGATCAACTACGTATACGGTTCTATTCTGAAGCCTATGGGGTCGCACTCGTTCTGAATGTAAAAACAAGAAGGAAGAAAATACAGGGTATGTTTGATCAACCTGGTTCATTCAACCGTAATGTATAAGACGGCTGATCACTGAAGATTCCCAATTGTAATATTTGAGAGGGACAGAATTGCAAACAAGCTCATTCTTGTAGCACAATCCTTCGGCTAGTACAGTTATATAAATGTGAATACGATATATCAAATTTTCAATGTGTTTTGAAATGGTGTGAACTCAGCTGTTTGATACAGTTAGAGATATTGTATGTGGTTTATAAACAAATATAGACGTTGGTTAGATGGGACTAGGGATGAGGCACATGAGGATCAGGACAGGGTCAAGGATGGCCATTTTCGGTTTGGGTCACGTGGTCATAGGAAGGATCAATCCTAGTCATGGGAATGAGTTCACACTGGGGGGTATAGTGTTTGGACATAATCGCATTTGAGAACAAAGCCAAACGTTTGACAGGCCAATGCCGTGGCTGTTACTAAATGACGTTGGTCAACAGTTTCTGATGGACGAGGTAACACCCGACATGTTCACTTACTTGATAACCCATATTTGCGAGGTGTCCCTGATGGAAATTAGAGATGGTTCTCCTGGACCCAGTTCCCAACCAAGCTGACTTGTGTTCGTTGACCCTCCGTGAAAGATGTCTGATTATTTTACCTGTGGAGCGAAAAAATTGATTGTGGAATCACTGGAGGTCAACCCCATCAGGCAGCAGATGAAACCGTGGCTATTGTCTATTGGATCCATCGCTTTGTTGTCAAAAGCGGTTTGTCACGGCAGTTAAATTATCATGGACTTGGTGCGAATTCAAGTCTAGGAGTGTCCATGAGTGGGGATAGACATTTCCACGACTCAGCGACCCAAACCGGAAAGGACTGATCTCAAATCTTTCCTCAACATTTAATATCTCGTCCCTATTATCATTCATCNTCATTCATCCATCGGCTATTTTCGTTTGCGGGACGATTGTTAAACAGGTGATCAGCGAACAACTCAAGTTATTCCCATCATGGCAACGTCAATGACTATCTATTCATGGACAACAAATGATCCATTGAGTGCTGACTGTTATCACTGTGAACCCATGTGGTTGTCAGAATGAAGCAGTAAAACAATTGTAACGGTTGCAGTGAAGTATTTACGC